TGTTTCACACCCTGATTTAGTTCCACCACCCGTGTAATGGAATATTTCGATGACGAAATAGATTCCACCATCTACGGCTTTTCATGGACAATATTAAAAGTCATTTGAACGTGGTGCATGTATGCTGAACGGTCTGAACATGGACCAGCTAGGTGGTGTGATAAATAGAAATGACACTTTCAAAGTATTTCAGCGGTTGCATTGGATTAGCGGCTGTTCCGGATAAAATGCGGCGTCGGAACTACACACTGATACGTGTTGTGATGTGCCGAGTGAGAATTTTCACAATTTTATTTTAACTGTCGGCACTCACATCAAACATATCAAATCCGAGCACTCGAGCCATATAAGTTGGCATCGAGGTAATCAAACTGTACCAGGACCAGTTGTAGGTGACGTGGGCTATGAGAAGGGCCCAAACCGGTGGGGAGGCGAGAATGTGACGCCACGGCACAGGAAGTTTTTTCGTCCGTGTGAGTGGTCGGGACTCAGACTGACCTCCAGCTGCTGTGCTCCCATTCAGCCTGTTAGAGGGATACGAGAGAGTGAAAATGGAGTTGTAGGTGCACTTGGATATATACAAAGGGACCAAAACTGCAAGATCAAACGAATATACCGTGTTTGATGATACAAAAGAAGTAGTTCCTTCATATATGGACTAGTTCTTGTTGGAAATTAATGCACACAGCACGAGTTACCGCCCTCACGTAGTTCAAATATAGACCACAAAATGCACTGTAAATTTTTCTCGAAGTGCCTCTGTCCCAAATTAATGGAAAGAAATAACTATTTCCTTTAAAATAGCCCAAGTTTGCTGAGCCTTGAAATGAAGCGGCAAGAGGCTTGGTTTGATCTTGATCGGTTTTGTCAGCAATGGAAATCGATCGAAGCAATCGTGAATTGAACTCGGAAGCTCCCAGGCAGAATGAGAGCATACTACTACTCAATAGATTGGGTTTTTCACAGTGACAGACCAACCACGTTCATTCTAGCTTCAGCCCCAAGGTGTCGTGAGTTGACTGAAAGTAGTTCGCAACTTGGAGCTTTCAGAGATGTCAGTGATTCGTTCAATACCGCCTGCAAGAACCAGTTGCTATCAAACTTGATAATTCCGAGCAAACACCCTTTTCCTATTCAGAGTACCAAGCCCGGGCTAGCCCACTCGATTGTTCAGAGGCACTAGGCACTCTTGATGGTGTTCGGTGTGGATTTCACTCCTTGGGAGATCGTTTAATCTCCCACGAGACAATGCATTCAAATGCGATGGAGACGTTTATGATGACCAACAAAGATTATTGGACAGCTGTTTCGTCCTGTTTGGGACTCGTCAGCAGTGCGTACTTTTTATGTCCCTGTCAGGACTCGAACCGTGATCAGTCGGGTCGGGACTTCAACCCCGTACCCCTGAGGTACATGGCGACAGAGATATTTGTTGATTATCACAA